TTGTGACGGTACATTTACTTTGCCCTCGTGTTCATTTGAGTTTTTAACATTGTATGACGTCAAGAGTGTGTCAATAAGAGGACATACAACTCAAAACRGTGTGCAATTTGTTAAAGATCAAAATTTTTAATGGTTTTAACAGCTATCGAATTATAAGTGTCATTTGTATAATGAAGAAAAAAAGGCCTATAGAAAAAAATCATTCTTATTTCAATTATCTGACACCGGTACAGACGGAGGTCAAAGCAAGGGTGGAAAACGGAAAAATATTTGAAAAAAAATTATTATGAAATTTAGCACTTCTCAAAGTGTTCGMTTCGAATCCATTATATTTGTGATACATGTGATTATTAAAACTCATTTACTCGTTTGTTTATTCCTTCATGCAGGCAGATGGTCTCTGTCATTTATGTTTTGTTAGCCATACATGATTGAAATTGACATTGATTTGAAATTGTAGTATGAAAAGTGAAACATCTTCGACTTTTTTTATTGGTCACAAAGGTATACATCTCYCTGTCTAGCTCCTCACTATAAAAAAGGCAATAGACATGGACAGGAGCCCGTTAAAAATGGAACAGAACAAAATGACTTTCGTCTGATCTTAGATTGTTTACTGATTAGAATTCAAATGACAATGTACAGGACTCTTAGTTTTATAAAATAATCTTTAAGATCACTGCGAAGATTACGTAGTCATGCAGACGTCGCTTAGAGATGTAGTCACAACAGAAAAAATGTTCCGCCTATTCACTAATCAATACCGGTTCTCATTTTCATGCGCACTCGGCAAAAACAGCTCCAGGTGGCATTTATCTCCTTCAATTTTCTTTGCGCAATCTTTGAGGTGTTGATTAACACTGGCATCAAAACGGGACGACAGTTCAGCGTGTAATGTTAGATACCTGTGAAGGTCCGTAGGCGTGAAGGACAGTATCTACCATTGCACGCTCACTTGTCGTCACTCTTCAATGCAAAGTCACGACTATCTACCAAGATGACGCAGGGAACCGTGAAAGAGACTATTTCACACTTTTCATGCTCATGCGCGAGAATATTTCAAACTTTTTTCTTTCTTCCTTTCTTCATTCTATTTTTCTTTGAGCTGGAAAATTCAAGGGATTTTGACCATTTTGACCATTTCTGACCTTCTGTTTTAGTCTTATCTCGGCATTATCAAATAAAGGGATTTTTGCTCAGTCCACCCTCGAAATTGATCTTATCAATGAGATGAACGTCTTCATAAATAGATGAAATCATTGACAATAAAACTCTTACTTGACAAAAT